GAAGATTAAATGATGATGTACCCAAAAATAGCAGAGCTAGCAAGAATAAGAAATATCCTAAAGTAGATTTAGGCGATAGGTGTAAAAAGCTTTCAATAAAAATGCACCTTAATAATATTTGGAAGTCGGTTCATTCTATAGAAAATGATATAGAGTATGGAGTTTTTGAAAAACTTCGTATTATTGAGTATGAACTAAGTTGTATAAATAAAGCAAAGCTACCATGGGTAAAGTCAGATTCTTCAGATACTTCTGATTCAAGTAATTCTTCCACAGCTAGGTCTAAACCTGGGGAATAACTTCGTGGTGGTCGAAAATAAAAGTAAGGGAAGTATAGTAGGTGTATTTGATTATACTGAACTATAGCGGAGCTAGTGTCTTCGACACATATGTATACTTGGAAATGCACCACCTAACGCTTCTGGTATAATTTCGTTTATAGTAAGACATTTTAACTGCATTTATAAATCGCGATCAAGATAATCAGATTTTTTTACGTATGGCGTTGCATGTTATTATTGCCTGTGACATGTATTCGAGATGTAGAGCTGAAGTGCCATTTATTTCGAAATAGGTGCATACTACATCTGTTGTCATAGACAATGAGCTCCGCCCTAAATTAAGTAACAAACAAGAATCGTGTGGTACATATAAGGAATTGTCAATTATGTGTCTTGACACTAGCTCCGCTATCGACAATATACGCACAAATGATTTAGATGATTATATAGGTGAGCAATCATCCGATGCACAATAATCAACATAAATAGTATGAAATCACCATGTATTATGATTTATTGCTTCGATTTAGTATGAGATGTAAAGAACCAATGCCATAAATCGTTGATGTTGTGTTTTAATCTATAAAAACATGTTGAAATTGCTGAAGTCTCGGGTAAGAAAATATAATATTATCAGCTTCACTGATGTGACCAAATCAATCAAATAATCAATCGCTATCAAAACAAAATATAACGTACAATAATAATCAATCAATCAATTATTCCTGATTAAAATGCCATATAATATATCTGATATTTTCATCATTATAATCATGATTTGCGAATTATACACTTGGGGTATCTTAACAATGGAGATGCTTTATACAATAGCCGGGGAAAATGTAACAATGTACTCTATCCTTGCAATTTTATTATTTTTAATTCGAAAAAATATGTACGCATCTCCTACCTCGCCCCAATACAAAACCAAATTCTTATCACGATAAATGCAAATATAAAAGACTTAAAACGAAATATGTTGGCTCTAAAAAATGATATGAATAGAATGCAAAATGAAACGGAATGGAGAAGTGAAGCC